TTATCTGGCATCTCCAGACTGTCAGCCACAAATAGCTTTGGGCTGAAATAGTGTTACATTAGTTCTGACTCCCACGTAAGCAGCTGCAAAGTGCTTCTGACCTCTTTCTGCCCAGGCTGCCCTGGTGTTCAGCACATCCCTTTCGAACTTCTTCCCCCCAGGAATCATCTCTTAAGAAACAGAGCTGAGAGCAGCCACATGCAAGGAGCAAGCTCCTGCCAGGGCTGGAAGGCTACTGCCCCTTGTTGGCAAGCAGCTTTTGCCTCCTCCATCAGTCACCCTGTGGAAAGCAGAGCTGAAAGCACAAGGAATGATGCTGCTTCACATTTTATTCACCAGGCAGAGGGACTCTCTCCCACTGTGATCTTTGTGGCTCCAGCAAGGGGCAGTGCACCAAAGAGAAATGCTCAACTCGCTTGTGTGATGCTGCAAGGCAGGACTCAGCCCTGCTCTGGCCAAGCAGCCTAAACCCTCGGTTAAATAAGGTCCTGACACCTTCCCACCTTAAAGAATTCAGCACTTCACTCCACAAATTATGAGCTAAACAGGCAAATAAGCCCCATCCTGGTTCTGCAGTGATTGCTGCAATCAGAGCCCAGCTCAGGCTGGTTCCCAGGGACTGTAAATCCTGAACTCTGCAGGCACAGCCCCGGTTGATAGTGAGTGATTAGCTTTAATTCCACCTCTTCCTCTCTTTAAGACAGTTCATCTGGAGCCCCCACGGTGTTCCTCCCAGCTCTGCTGATCCTGCACTGGAGCAGCAGCCCCTGCCCTCCCACTCCTGCTCAGCCCCCTCCAGCCCCCTCCTTGTTTTCCTTCTTGTCTCCAACTTAACTTCTGCTGGAGCTGATTTGTTCTTGGTGGGAGGGGATTTTGAAGCAGGAGGAAATCTGGGGAGGGAAGCAGCCCTCTCCTGAAGGGTCCCAGATGAGCCCTCCACCCTGGGTGAGCTGCTGCTCCAGGGCAGGTACGTTTTGGGACCTCTCCTGCCGCTCACAGCTGGGGCTTCCCCAGCTGTCCCCTGAAGCTGCCATTCCCAGGCTATCTTTGCCATTCCCCAGTGTTTCCACCTGGCCTTTGGGGCTCTGGGGCCCATCTGAGGAACGTGAGGTAAGAAGCAGGTTTGTTTGCATTTATTTTTAAGACAAGTGGATTTTTGAGCGCAGCCTTGCTTCCTCCCTCCTCTCCATCCCCTTCTCCAGATCCCTTTGAACAAATCATTCCGTTTGCAGAGTCCTGTTGTTTAATTTTGCTGATTGCTGAGTCTCAACCTCCCATTAATTGCTTTAGCCCGCCTTTGTGCATTCCGTTAAATGAGAAAATGCCACACATAAAATTTTAATTTTGAAAGACGCCTTGTTTGTTTTATATTCAAATTACCCACGCCGTGCCGGCCCGCAGAAACAGACGCTTTCTCATTTCATTAAAAACTCTTTGTGATGATAAAAAGCAGCAGAAATGAGATAAAAAGTGGTGTTTCCTTAAAGGCACATGAAAGTAAGAGAGATAAATGCCATGTATTGTAGGGATCAAATCCAGCACAAGGCTGCGAAGCGGCGATACCGGCGCGGAGGCTGTGCCGGTGGCAGTGCAGCAATAGCTCCTCTCCCAGGGCACTGTGGGCTCTGCCTGGCCCGGCCTCTGTCACCCACTGCTGCTGCCATCCCCTCAGTCACCCACTGCTGCTGCCATCCCCTCTGTCACCCACCACTGCTTCCATCAGGGACCTGCAGCGAAGCACCCGGGAGGCCTCCAGCTGTCTGTGTCTCCAGCCGTGGATCCCTCCAGCCCTGTGTGTCCCCAGCCCTGCCGATGGCCAGCACAGTGAACCCATCACCATGTCCTCAGGTCAGTCCTGAAGCTGCCCTGGCACTGCACAGGTGAGAGGGGATCAGTGCCCAACGTGAGAAGGGCAGAGAGGCCGTTTGCTGCTGGCGGGTGGGTGCAGGGGCAGAGGGACCAGCTCCCTCCTCTCCAGCCCCAGCTTTCAGACCTGGTGTGTGAGTACACATGGGGGATTTAAGCAGCTTCTCGGGAGGGACCCTCAGAAGGACCGAAGCCCTCAGCAGCCCCAGCCACTCTCCAGCAGCTGCTGGTCATGGCAAAGCTCATTGTTAGCAAACTTTGTGTCTTCCCTCGCTCTGGAGCAGATGTGACCACTGGGCACAGAGACCCACACAAAGGGGGCTGAGGCCAGTTGAGGGTCCTGTGCACTGGGAGACGTTCACTGATCCCTTGGGTGCTCAGTGTTCCTATATTTATTCTGCTCAATGGGATCTGTAAATCAGCACAAATGAAGAACAAACTTCCAGCTTCAGACTTGATTGCTTCGCTTCTATTTTTTTCCTCATCCCTTAACATCAAAGTGAGTTCTTTCTACTTGATTTTCAATATTCCTCAGCAGTTGCTGAATTGCTATTCAGTTTTACACAATTTTTCCACCCACTGCAGTTTTAAAGGTCATTTAATTATTATTACAAAGAATTACAAAAAGATAGCAAATTGTTTAAATGCCTTAAGCCGCAACAGGTTATTAGCATGGATTTTTTATAGTCATGTTAAATGGATCAGTATTTACAGCCCAGGAGCCTTTGCATTGTGCTGTGTCACCCGGTGAGGCTCAGGGAGCGGGGCCAGCCCGGCAGTGCTGCGGCGGGAGCTGCTCCACTGCTCCCTCCAAGAGCAGGAAAAGACGTTTCTTTGGGAATTTCAGACCCCCGATTCCCACAGCATCCCCCTCCAGGGAGTGCCGGGATGGCTCTGCAGACTCTGCCACAGGACCACAGGGATCGGGGCTGTGCGGGAGCAGCCTGGGAGTGTGATGACAGCAACGTCCAGAAGCCGAGGCTGCTGGCGAGGCACAGCCCCTCCTGAGCACTCAGAACAGGCTGCTGGGTCACTGCTCTTTGTGGTTCTCGAGGAGCTGTTTTCCCTTCATTTCATCAGCACGTTAATGAGAGTCTCTGCTAAGGCAAACCTAAGTGGGAAACAAAATCCAGCCTCCTGTTTTCATGAGAACACCTTTCCTACCAAAATGCAGCTACTGCTGGTAAAGAGGCAACATTCCACCTTCCCAGAAACACTGCATGGATCAAGAAGGAAGAGAAGGATGTGCTGCAAACAAGCAGGATCACAAACAGGGATGGGGGTGAGGCAGACCAGATCCACCTCCTGCTCTGAGCAATCGGAACCTCTTGGTATTTACTGTAGAGAGTAAATTATAAACCAAAAGACAAGTTCCCATTTCTGCACATCAGATTGGACAGACAAGCCCAGCAATGAACACAAGTTTGTCAGCAGGACTGAAGTGGCATTACCCAGCCTTGGCCTCTCATTCACCTGCTCTCTGCATCACATCATCCTTCTCATCCCAAATGCTCATTCTGCAAAGCTGAGACGAGACAATTAGTGGGAACATTGGATTAAACTGTAAACCCTCGCTCACGCCTCTAGGTGGAAGGCTGAGAAAGCAGATCTGATTCTTAGAAGAGGGGGAAAACTCCCAAAGAGCAAAACTAAAATGCAATCACTCCTTTGCCCCCTTTCCTTGGTGTCAGCTGTGAATCAGGTGTGTGGGCTGGGAGGATGTTAAAAGCTGGCAAGGTCTTAACTGAAACCATCTGACAAACAGACCTCAGATCCCACACGCTAAATATTGTGTCTCATGAGTCTCCGCTCCAGAAGCTGTTTTGCAATAAATGCATCACTCCTGCGCACAGTTGAGTAAAAGTGGAAAGACAGGCTGGGGCCGGGCTGGGCTCTCCCACCGTGCCACAGCAGCAGGACTGGGATTGGGGCTGGGGGTGGCAGGGACCAAGTGCCAGCTGGAGCACCCTGAGCGTGGTGCTGTGCCAGGGGAGCTCCCTGTGGCCCGGACACCACACGAGTCCCCACTCCCCAGGAGCAGGCAGAGCCTGGCCCTGCTCCAGCCCCACGCCTGGTGCCAGGGAAATCCCCAGCCAGAGGGAGCAAAAGCATGGTCTTGCCTCACTCTGCTGGGCTGCTCTGATAGCAGTGGGGCAGAGGGAGAGGCCGGTCCTGGTTGCTCTGCTGCATCCTGTGCGTTGCACAACTGCTGCACGGTGTGCTGCCCTCGGTACCTGACTGCTCAGTCCTTGGCTATGCTCGTCGGCATCCTCCAGGCATTGGGGAACGACCTTTCCCCTGATGTGTGGGCCAGTGAACACCTTGTCCAGTTGTAGCCTGAGCAGGTAGGAACACCTCCTGGCCCCTGCCTGCCACCACACTGACACCTCCTGACACCTCCTGAGTCATATCAGATCGCCTGTGACATCACGGGAGCCGAGCGGAGCTGTGGCTGTTTGTCTTTCTGCCCCGCTGACACACATCCGTCCCGGGGGGGGGAGCCGGCGCTGCCCCACATTGCGCAGCAGGCGGGGGTGGCACGGCCGGCACGGCCCCCACGCCCACACAGCCCCGTGCCCGGGTCCGCGCTGACCCCGCGCCCCTCCCGGGAGAAGGAGGAAATGAGTTTCCTGACCGGCAATGTGTGCTCAGAGCCAGGACCTCCCTTTCCTAACAGAAGCATTGGGGAAAACCAGCCTGTATCCCCAGGGATTCATGATGAGCCCACTTAGCTTTGGGAAGCTGTCCAGGACTTAACCCTTGGGTTTGGAACTTCAGCAGGGCCCATGAGGGAAAGACTGGAGATGTCCTTCCCTAACCTCCTGGGTGCCCAGAGCAAACACTCCTGCTCTGCTTTCAGTTCCTTAGAACAAAAACTGCTTCCCAGATGGATGTGACTTCTCAAGAGGTATTTGCTTAGCAATAGGCATAAATCTTCTGCTCTTCACATTGCTCTGGGTGGGATAAAATATTCTGTGACTGTCTATTTAAACATCTTACATTAATACCATGAAGTGTTTGTTCAACTTCTATTATTCTTTTAGCTCTGAAGTAGCAAATGCTCCCAGGCATGTCAGAGTACAGCAAATCCATGGCTGCAGACACTGCATCCAAACTAAACTGGGGCTGAGCAGGCAGGGATGTTTTTGGATAAGGGGACCGCTGACATTTTCCGGCAGAGAGGCTGTGGCTGGGAAGGGCTCAGCAAAACTGTAAATGTTGTTGCCACAGACACTTGCGCAACTGCTCGGTTTTCCCCACCATCATTTATTACTTCAGTCTGTTGCTTCTCTCTCCTCTTGATCCAGCTGTGGGAAACCCGAGGTTGCCCGGTGAGCCAGGAGCACAGCTTCAGAACAGAGAAGGGGTTGCCAGAGTGTGGATGCTCTGAGTGCTGCTGTTAGAACGAGGTGAGCACAGAGGAGAGGAATCACCAGATAGTGAATCCCTGATTCATCCCGGGCAGGGACAGTGGGACTTTGGTGCAGGGGTCTGGGGGAACCGCTTTCCCCGGCCCAGTCGAGACCCCGTGCAGCCCTCGGGACACCCTGGATGATGGTGAGGCTTCTGCTGCCTCTGTCACTTCAGCCCTCAACAATAACAGGTTTATAGCCCAAAAACCCCCAGGAGGTTGGCTCTTTTCCTTGATGAAAGCACAACAGAAAAAAATTGTCAGGGTGTGCCCAATCCATCTGTCACTGAGGAAATAAGCCCGTCCTATAACTTAATGCCATCAATCACTAAGACCAAAGGTAGAGATCAAGGCTGCTTACTTGGAGGAGTACCTAAGGCCGTGTCTAGTGAGGAACACAGTGACAGCCAAATAAATTTCCCTGGTGTGGTCCCTCAAGAGCCTGTGCACTCCTCCAGAGCTCAGAAACATGCCTGCTCCGCAAGGAGCCCTCGGGCCACGTAGGGAGTGTGTTACTCTGCAGAGCACTTACCAGGATCTCCTTAAAAGCCAGGGAACAAGTGCAAGATAGAATGTTTCAGAGAAAAACCCATCTACTTGTCTGCAGCTGCACAGGAATCCCAGACTGGTAGGTGAAGGCTGCGCTGGCAGGACCATGAGCAGTGTGATGGGGACTGCGGGCACGTGGGCTCAAAACACGAGCTCTGCATCATCGGTGAGCTTCTCCTCTAGTCCTCGCTTGCTACATTTTCCTTCTTTCTGGGAGACCTCAGCTCCCTTTTCTCCTCTGGCATCACTGGCAGGTAGCACTGGGGAGGTTGGGAGCTCCTGCCTGACGTGTGTGCAGGAGTGACCTTCCCACCGGTGCCTCCGCCGGGCACCCGTCCAACCCGGGGCGATGCTCGGCTGATGGGATCTGCCTTGGGCAGCTCGCCACGAGGCTGCCATCAGAGACGTCTCTGTCGAGGCCAGCCAGAGCAGCAGATGGTCTCTCAGGCAGCATCTCCGTGAACCTGAGTGGTTGTGCTGTGAAAACAAACTGCCATAAGCGGATGTTGCTCAGCTTTGCTTCCGGCATTGCTGCTTGGCTCTCCTCATGAGGAATGGTGACCCTCTTCCAAAGAAAGGGCATAAATCATCACTTGGTTTTTCCTTTAACTCCTGGATATGCTGAGTCCTGTGAAATAAATTATATTGCTCACTGTAAAAGAAAATCCAGAGGCAGCTCTGCCAGCCTCTTGAATCCCTGAGTTGCAGGTGACGGGAGGATTCAGTTCATCCCCAGGATCACATGTTGGTTAATGCAGTGAGATGAGCCATCAGGTTGCTCCACAGATGAGCAAGGCATTTAGGACACCAGAGCTGTTGGGAACACATGGATCCCAAGGCAGCCATCCCAGCCCTGTCCCCTCCCAGAGAGGCTGAGGCATGAGCTCAGTTTGGAGCAGGTACTTGAGCAGGTACCTCACTGCTCAGGGCTTGTCTACACAGGATTCTTAAGAAAGTTAAATTGAAGCAACTAAATCTAAAGTAGAGCATTAAAATTCTGTATAAAACTCATTCAGAATTAAAGTGGCCTTAATTCAGTTTAGTTTAGTCCCAAATGTTACTATATAAGGCCATTTAAATTATCTTTAATTAACATAATGGTCCCACATAGGCCATTATAAATGAGGTTTAATTAGCCCATTTTTAGAAGCGAGTTAGCTGCCTTGAGCTTCCACAGGAATGCAGCCAGGGCCACTTTGCTGACGGGGCTCCTGGTTGAGGCTGGTTAGCAGGAGTTTCATAGCACTGGCATGTCTTCCCAAGGAACTGGCACAAGGTCAGCTTCCTCCCCGCCAGCAGATAATAAGATTCTTGAATATCACCTATTTTGACTGTGTTAAATGTACGAGTGGGAGATGAAAGGCTTTGCCAGGGGACGAGCTCTTCCTTTAAAATCTGGGACATGGGAGTGGTAATCCTTAGAAAAATCCCTAGAAAAATGTGATGTCAGGATTTTATGAGACTTGTTCAGGAGCAAGGAACCAGGCTGGAGAAAAGCTGACACTGAGTCAGCAGAGAAGTGGCTGGAGATGGAGGACTGGGAGGGACTGAGCCCGTCCCTGGGACAGGGCTCCTCCTGTCACAGACCTCCTCGCTGTCCCCACTGCCTCTGGATGCTTTGGTTCATTTTTGCTTACCAGAATTCTCAGCTCAGCAGGATGAGATGCTGCTGCCCTTGATGCCCACCCTGAGGGCATCCAGCCTGGGTCTCACAGGCTCCTCCCTGGAACAGCCCTGTGTTCTCTTGGTCTGTGCTGGGGATTTCCACCTCTTTTCCTGTGGCCTCAGAGGCCTCGGAGGCACAAGCCCTGCTCAGCAGCCTGGCAGTGCCGGCTGATGGACCATCCTGCCACAGAAAGGGGCAGTGCAGCTGCCCAACAATGGGCACAGCACCGGCTGGAAGGAGAGAGTCTCGTGCCTTGCACATGGTGGTGAATGGCATTGGCACCTCTGTGATTCCAGCAGAGGCTTTGTCCTGGGAATCTCCATGTCCTCAGAAGCTGCAGCCTCCACCACTGCCCTTGCAGTGACAAAAAGAGCAGCACTTTCTGTTCAAGGTAGTTTGCAAACAGACTCATGTGCCTGCTGTCGCTGCTTTGCATAAATCAGGAGATCCAGCTTTGGGGTATTTCCTATAAGAAGCACATCTGTGGCCGTACTTTCTGGTGCAATAGACTTTAGCCTGGAAGCAAAAGCACACAAACAATGCTAAATTCATGCTGACTGGAGTAGATTCCAAGGGAAAGAAGAGTTGGGAAAGCACCTACTTAAGAACTGAGTAAGGATATTATCGCTGATCTGAATCTCACTCTGTGTGTGTTACTGTTGAGTACACAGTGCGGTTTCAGACACGGCCAGAGACAAGGAAAAATGATTGTTTCGGGGTAACCACAAGGAAGATGAATGCAAATGTATTCCTGTAACTGGGAGAGTTCCTCGCTCCCGAGTTGGGCTCTGGTACATGGCCCTAGGGAAGCAAATTTGCAACTACCTTCATTAAATTGTTTAGGGATGATTAATCAGAAGTCAGAGATGTGAAATTTTTGCACGTTGTGCAATGTTGGTTCAATCCCTGCAGTTCCACGCAGTCTGCAGGGGTGGTTTAGCGCCTGGCAGGGGACAGGTACTGGCAGGTGACAGACGCTTCCTGCCAGCGCTTATCTCCTCCACACGCCCGGGTTGATAAGCTGCTACTGGCTGAATCACGGCCACCTGCACCATCGGGATCCAAGTGGTGCAAGGGACATGTGGCAGAGACTCGGTCCCATCGAAGTGCACGGCCGGGGTGTGGCCCGTGCAGGCACCCTCAGGGCAGAGATGCTGCCACCACCCCGGCCGTGCTCTGCATGTCCATCATCAGGTCACTGGCTCTCCACTGTCACCATATGCTGTGTCCACACACCGGTGGCTGGAACTGCAGCTCACACAGAACATAAAAACCCACAAAGCCCTATTGCCGACATGGCCGAAGCTCGTGGCTGTGTCACACGTTCCTTCTGCCCGAACGCTGCCTGCAGCTCAGGCTGTGCTCAAACAGCAGTAGTGTGTCCCCAGGGGCCCTCAGGGCTGCGGGACTGTCCTTGCACCCGATCCCACCCGCTGTCCCAGCCCCTGTCCCAGCTCCCCCCCCAGGGTCAGCTCGTGGTCCAGGGCCTTGTTCTCCTGACAGCTCCAGACACCCACCCCAGTGAGGGGCAGCCCCGCCTGCCCCACGTACCCCACAGGGGCAGGGAACCCTCCCTTGGGAAGCACCACACGTGTGTTCAGAGCTCCGAGACTCTGTTACCGTGTGACACCCACCCCCGGCAGGGACGGTGGGACTCAGAAAGGGCCAGAAACGGAATTTCCATATTTTAACGTTTGTAACCAAGAGCTGGGAAATCCTATGGGGGACCAGCTCTTGTGCCCCTGTGCCGCAGGACCACCTGGGCTGGCTCGGGGCCCTGCGGGTCCCTCGGGGGCACGGGCGGCCCGGGAAGCAGAAGGGCACGTTTCCCTAGGGAGCGGCCCTGTCGGGGCAGGTCAGCCACGCCGCGACACGGTTTGCACAGGCCCCAGGTGTTCGCAGCCGGGGCCGCAACCGGGACGTGTCAGTGTCCGTGTCCGTGTCCGTGTCCCCGTCCCTGCCCCGTTCCCAGCTGCACCAGGAGGCTCCGGCGGGGCCCGCAGCAGCAGCAGCGGCGGGGCGGGCCGGGAAGGGAAGGGAAGGGAAGCGGCCGCCGCTCCGCCCCCCCCGCTCTGCCCTTTCCGCCCCGCGCGGCGCTCCCGGGCCGGGTATAAAGCGGCGGCCGCGCCCGCCCCGCTCCGGCCCCACGGAGATGCGGCGGCGGCGGCGGCAGCGGCCCGGTGAGCGCGGCGGGCGGCTCCGGGGCGGGGGCTCGGCCGGGCCGGGAGGGGAGCGGAGGTGGCGGGGCCGCTGCTGACGCCGCTGTCGCCCCGCAGGTCCGGACGGCGAGCGGAGGCCGCGGGTGCCCCGCCGGGAGCCATGAGCGCGGGCAGCGTCGCCCCGGGCTGGCCTGAGGCGCTGCCGGGCGCGGCCCGGCCCGCGGCGGGGATGAGCGGCAGGGAGAGCCCCGAGGGGCCCGGGGACGGCCCCGAGCTGCAGCTGAAGGTGGATTTCTTCCGCAAGCTCGGCTACTCCTCGGAGGAGATCCGCGTCGTGCTGCAGAAGCTGGGCCTGGGCGCCGACACCAACACGGTGCTGGGGGAGCTGGTGAAGCACGGCCCGGCCGAGCGGGACGGCCCCGAAGCCCCGCCCGAGCCCGGCGAGGCCCCGCTGGTCCCCCGGGGGGGCGCCGGTAACAAGTCCCCCGCGCCCGGCCCCGAGGAGACCGAGAGCGACAACCTGAAGCCCATCGTCATCGATGGCAGCAACGTGGCCATGAGGTGCGTGCGGGCTGGGTTTGTGTGACCGCTGGGTCTGAGCTGTGCCAGGCGCTCGGGGGGAAAGCTCCCGTTCCTGGCTCAGAGCGGGCACCGCTGGGTGCCCGGGCGGGGGCTGGGAATACTTTCCGAGGTGCCTCGCCAGCACGCACGGCTCTCACGCGGACGGGCTGGTCCTGGCACGGCTCTGCCCGCCCAGAGCCAGCGGTCACGGGGCAGTGACGAGGGCAGCCGAGCTTCCTGCGAAACACACGTTTCCTCTTGTGCTCCAGCGCTGAGGGGATAACTGAAGGTACATTGTCCTCCTAATCAGTGTCTTTGTGTAAGTTTCCGTGTCAGGAAGTTGCTCAATAAATAATTATAGGGTTAATTAGAGAAGACTTTGTAATACGGAGCTGTCTCCTGCGTTGGAGCCCGGTCTCCAAATTGTGACTCTCGTAGTTTGGTGAATTTCTGTACAATGTAGAGAATGAAGTGTTGAAGGTGTCACCAAAGCAGGGCTGTGGCTCATCCTCAGCATCTTGAGTGTCCTGGTGCTGCTGGCACAGGTCCTGTCAAGACACTGTGACCAGAGCACCCAGAATCTCAGGGCTGTATATTTATTGGTGTGGTGTCCCAACTTTCACCCTGGGTTTTGCTCCCATGATGGTGAGCATTGCCTGTCCCCACCCCAACCCCAGCTGCTCCCCACCTCTACTTGGGGTGGTCCTGGGCTCTCTTTAATGCACCAGGTTCAGAATTGGGCTCTGAAAGCTCTTTCTGTTGCAGCTGTTGCAGAAGCCACTTCCTTTACTGTGTATGTTTGTGTGCAGATTTTATAAAAAATAATCCTGGGTGCAGGCAGAGCCTCTATATGTGCTGTGGTAGGTTTGTCTGAGGTGAAAGTGCTGCCCGGAGGTTGGTTTGCAGGTGTGGTTTTTCTCCAAGCCCTGGTTGACAGTTCTGAGAACAGGACTGAGAAAAGATGGGGCACAGTTGGCTGTGCAGCTGGGGCAGAGCTCAGGGCAAACAAGGAAATGGGGATGGTAGTGGAGTGTGAAAGCCATGCCCAGGGTCCCTGCAGGAGAGCCTGTTCCTATTCCAGCCGTCTCCACAGTTTTTCAGGCACTATGGAAAATGGCCCATTGTGAGCTTGGGCTGATAAGTGACTCTGGCAGCGAAGTTTACCTTGG